TGGGTTTATAGTTGCATATCAATGTGTGGTTAGATATGCTAGTTCACTATAAACAGAGCTCTGATACCAACATGTCACACCCCCGAACCAGACGGCGGAATCGTCCGAGGGCTCGCGTGACTTAAATTGAAATATCATCATAATGAATATACATGAAACGTAACACATGCATCACCAAACATTACATAGTACAACTGACATTGTTTACATCAAGTACAAGGTTTACATTACATGATTTCCAAATATAAAGTGTTTGGTGAAATAGCAACTACAAAAGAAAGTTTCAACACACTGGATGCTTCCTTGTCTAACGATTACCTGAGAATACAAGTTATTTTGAAAACGGTCAACATATATAATGTTGGTGAGTTCATAAGTGTGTTTGATGTAAAGTAGTTTATGTCATTCTTAAAACCCAGAAAATCCGATATTTTCTGTATTAAAACTTTTCTTGAAAATGTGGTGATGATCCTGTAAGTATATGCGTGAATGATTTCAAGACGTGAATAAAGGAGAAGTTTTGCATTATAGTTTTTGAAAGTACAAATGAGCAAGATTGGTTTCCCCGGAAAACCCGATGTTTCCCGATAAAAAGTTATGATTGTTTTGCATTATTGTATATCGAATGAATATGATTTCCCTTGATTAATGATGTCGGATTTCTACGTGAGTCGTTATAAGGCATGCATGATAATGACTAGTTCGTCTGTCTTGGTATTCTAATGAACACCGAAATTTGATCTTAAGACTTTGTCACCCTAGACTGGCCGAGTCTAACTGTAGCGAACAGCTTAGGTGTGGGGGAGTCACCCCCGTATAGATCTATACACAAACTCTCGCTCTCCCTCCAGGAGACTTTGATTACAACTACAGACTACGACCGACACTTATTGATGTCACCCGTTATTACTCACTCAATCCACATGAATTTGATTAACCTTGATTAATGATCTGATTTTAGTTTACTTGAAGAGAAGGTAAGCCTAACAGACGAGGAGAAGAGGACTATTAGGCCCTACTAATTTCGTATGTTATTTAAGGCTGTCGAGTATACGAAAAGCGCGTTGGCCCATTTCACATATGATTTATTTGGACCTTACTAGTAATGCTAATGGGCCACTGAGGCCCAATAGCATGTAAAAACCATTGAGAGTCCCTTAAGCATGTAATTGGGTCACAGGAGGCCCAATAACATGTATTATTTATGTTGGGCCCAAAAGTCATGTTAATGAGTCACGAAGGCCCATTAAGCATGATTAGAATCTCTCAAGCCCAACCATTTGAACGTTTACTTTTTTTGTATAGTATTAATGTTGCGAGTTGTTTAATCGATATGTCGTATAAATCACGAATTTGTTTTATAACGATTTATAGATTTATAAAAATAGCTATTTTTCTATTTACAACCCATAAGTTATAAAGTTTTGTATATTTTGACCCAATTATTATTATTATCAACATAATTGACCAAAAACATTAGTTTGACCTATTCAGCCCCTTATTTTGTAAAGTTGGCAATTTTTGCCCTTTTTATAAAAAAATGACATATTAGGTCCTTGAACTATTTTTCTTGACATCTTTGACCCAACCACTTATTTAAATAATGTTTTAAGCCCAAAAGTAAAATTTAGAAAGTTTCAACCCTTTAGTTAAAAGATTTGCATTTTAGTCCACCTTTTTCGCAATTTTTACACTTTTTACCCAAAATCCAAAATCTTTGCATTTTAAATCATTTTTACAAATAAGATCATTTTAAACCCCAGAAATAGATTTATTTACTTTTCTACCCACTGTTTTGAGAAATTTACCATTTCAGCCCCTTAAAACCATATTTTTCTCAACTTTGGGCCTATGGGCCGAAAAGCCCAAAATTTAGCCCAATAAGCCACAATTTCTTTTTTAGTCCTTCGAAAAACATAATGTTCATAGAAACTTCCATTTTAAATGTTTTGACATTTTGAACCTTGTAAAAACCGTAAATGACAACTTTTTCCCAAACTTTTGTTTATTTGACAAAAATAGTCCAATAATGAGTTTTATGTTGTAGTGTGTTATTTTAAAGCTTGTATATTAGTTTATCTTGACATGTTAAGTGAAATATGACCTAGATCACATATTTTTCCTTATTGAACTATAGATCTCGAAATATCTTTCATTTTTAGCACATATATACCACAAAAACACAAGAAATCACACATATCATACAAATACACATAGATCTTCACATTTTACTTGCATTCTCCCCCATAAAACATATGAAAACCGAAAATAGAGGGGTATGAACTCACCTTGCTTTGATGTTTTCGATTTGAAGAAAGAATGGAAGAGTTTGATGTTATTTTCGGCCCTAGAAAGCTTCTTGAGAAGACTTTGGCTTAGATAGGTTCTAAGAAGCATGATCATGAACTTTCATGAGTTAGAAGGAGATTTATAAAAGAATCAAGAAACTAAACCATGGATCTAAGTACAACTTACCAAGAAGTGATGATATTCTCTTGAAATCCTCTTGATACACAAGCAAAATTTCGAGATTTTGGAGTGGGAAGGAGGAGGATACTTGAGAGAGTTTGGAAGAAGTTTGATGTTGTGTGTGGGTGTTTTCCTTGTGCTCTCGGCCGAAAAAGAAAAAGAGAGGGGAAGAGAGATATAATGAGTTGACATGCATGGAAGTATGAGAGATTATAGCATTGTTACATGTTGAATAATAGGGAGGTGGCATCAAAGTCAACCCTCCCTAATTACATCTATTTTTTACTTGGGCCGAGAGAGAGAGAGAGAGAAGGGAAAGAAAAGATTTGGGCCTTAGTGTTTGAGTTTCGAAATGTGAAGCCCAAATTGATAGTTTTCGGCCCATTGGGCCTTTGGAGTGGATTACGGCCCAATTTTGCATGAAAGAATGGATTTGTGGCTCTTTAGGGCTTATTGGATTGTTATGGCCCAATAAGGCCCAGTAAAGGTAAACTAGTCCATTTTAGACTTATAAAGCCCAAAAAGGTTAAGTCTCATGAAAGTGGGTCCAATGAGAGCCCATTTAAGAGTCCTGAGCCCAAAATAGTCAAATTGGAAGTTTATTGGCCCATTAGGCCCAATAAGGAAATCCTAGTCCATAATGGACTTAAACCGGGATTTCTAGGGTTTTCAACTTTACTTGATGAATCTAAGTTTGAATGTGCTTCCATACGTTGAATTTCAAGCATATCATGAATTTGGGTTTACGAATTTGCAGTAGACAATGTTTACAAGAGTACAAAATTTCCTAGCTAGAATGCTAGTTGTGACAGCTTTTGATGCCAAAACTGGGCCAAGAGAAGATAGAGAAGGTGGATTGCTATGATTATCATCCTCTCGACATTAAGGCAAAATTTCTCCATTTTATTAAGTTTTGAGCTTTAATGGTGAATGTGTTAGTTTGGTTAGAATGGTTGAGTTGACCAACCTATAACTTGCTTATAATGTTATTGAGAGTATTTAAAAGCTTTGAAAAAGCTTTGTATGTGATTTTCATGGTGAAATCCATATATGTGAAGTTAGGTTTGAAATCCTAACTAATGAGAGTGGTAAATTGATGCAATAGATTATAGTGTAATGAATTAGGTAATATGGGATGCTCAGTTCATCGGGTGGAATAGATTTAGAAATAGAAAATGATATGTTGGAATTATGATCATCTAAGTGATCATTTTGACATAGAGAGTAGATTATCTCTTAATAGGCTAAGAAAAATTTTAAGAAACTTGATGTGTTGTATGAATAAGCCTTGAGCAAAGAAGAAGGATCAAGATCCATCAATTGAAGATTGGAGCCAAGGGTAGCTAGCTTTCACTGAATAACAAGGTGAGTTATAATTCACTCTTTCTCTAGATTATGTATGCATGTCTTTATGCCTTTATGTTATTATGTATGCATGCTTGTATGTTTATGGTATCGTGTCAAATACCCACAATATATCAAGTGAAGATAGAGTGTGATTACATAAGTTGTAATCTTGTATATATATCTAAGTATGCATGATTAGATGTTAAAGGTATTATCTTTAATACCTATAGATTAATATATGAAGATAGAGTATGATTATATGAACTATAACCTTACATATGATTATGTGTGTATAAGTAGATGTCAGTGGTATTTGTGTTAAATATCCAAGGTATACTAAATGTAGATAAAATGTGAATGGTATGATTAGATGTAGAAGGTATTATGTTAAATACCTACAAGAAGTTAGATGGGGATAGATTATGATTATATGTTATAATCATGTAAATGAGTATGTATGTATGCTTAGAGTATGTATGTAACGTTGAGAATACAGTATGTATGTGGGATGGAAGATAGAGTATGTATGTTTAGTTGAAAATAAAGTAGGTATGTGGGATGGAAGATACAATATGTATGTGCGGTTAAGAATAGAGTATGTAAGTATGGTTAGATATTGATGGTATTGTGTTAGATAACCATCATAGATTAGATGAAGATAGAGTATGGAGGTATGTTTAGATGTCTATGTAGTATATAAAGATTTAGATTAAGTACTTAATGAGTTAAGTACTAGAGTTGTAGTAAAAGATCTCTTGGTGAAGAGATGAGATAGATTGTTATGAGACATGTGATGTGTAAGACTATGATGAGACCATAACATTCACATGAAAAATTATTATAGAGTAGAAAAATGATCCATTCGGAAATGGTGATAGATGAATTCCTTCGGGGAATGTAGATAGATGATTCCTAGGGAAATAAAATGTTGTGTGATTAGATAAGTATGAGAAAGGTTCCATGAGTTGAACAATATAAGAAGTTTCTTTAGAGAAACTTGATATAATTCGTGAACAATTAAGGGTAGAGGATCCGCGAGGGATCACTGGAATCCGCGAGGGATTCAAGAAAAGAGAAGCGGTCAAAGGGTCCATGTGGGATCGGAGACTTAGTCCCGATGTTTGTACTCAACATTTAAACGAGAACATTTTCGATTTCGAACAAAGATACAACATTATATTATACATCTACATCTGTTACTGCAAACTAAACAATTAATACTCGCACAAATCAATATTTACAATTGCTACAACATGATTTCTTATCTAAGCTATATTTGACTTCAATCAATATCCTCTCCAAATGTCATTATAAACCCTTCTTTGGAGAACCTCTGTAATACGCCGGCAAACTAGCCGGAAAAAACATTTGCCTCACTCCTTCCGCTTTAATAATCGGAAAAATAATCCCACATGCACTCTATTTTCCAAAAAAAAAAAAAAACATCATTTCATTAAAAAAAATTTGACTTAAAACACTTGTCAAATTTCGAGTAATTAGTAATTAATTACTCACCAAAATCAACCGGGCTGCGATCCATAACCTGTTAGGTGAGGGTAGAGGTAGTAAAAGACGAAAAACCCCATATACCGCTACACCAAAGAAATGAAGGACCAACTCAACCGGACTCGGGTTTAACCCGGAAAGTAACCCGACCGGCCCACTTGCACATCCACCTCCAAGACTCAAATACTCAAAACAAGCTTCCCTCATTTCCTTCATCGCTTCATCTGAAGAAGCACAAAACACCCTGTACAAAGCCCCCGCTAACGTATTTATCGTAGACGCCACCGGCTACATAAATATATACATAAAGTCAAAAATTACAATAATACCCTTCTTCTCCTTCACTAATTACAAATATTAATTGTCTTACCTTACGTAAGGTGTAGAACGATTCGATGTTTTTGGAAAGTGACTCAGCATCGGTAAAATCACGTGACGATTTAAGAAGGTCACGTAACACAACAATATCAGAAAGTGCGACAGTCATCCCGCCACCTGTCAACGGATGACGCATGTTGAAAGCATCACCCATTAGCAGTGCGCCACGTGTAAGAACGGGAACAGCTGGCATGGTCCTGTTTGGCATTGTTTTTATGTTCCCTTTGTTAACAGCACTCACAAAAGCGTTATGGAGTTTAGCGGGTAGCTGAGGGGCAACAATGGAATTTAAGTATTTTGCCATGTCACCATTTGCAAGAGAAGGAAGCTTTTTACCGGGTATATCAACTAAGCAACGAACTTCGGTTTTGCTAATTGGATACAAGAGGATAGGGGAAGGGTTTGCTAAGATGACGTGGCCATGATTTGGATATGGAAGATCACACTTCTCCAAAACAAGACCCACAAAGCAAGAAGGAACATCAACCTACACTTACAGATGGAACTTAGAAGGGTAGAAATGTAATTTAACAAAATGTAAACACTGGTAAAAAGTCAAAAAGTCAAAACATACCTGTGGTTTGCAAAGTGATCGGCGCAAGTTAGAGAAACAGCCATCACAGACGATTGTAAGAGGTGCGAATGCTTTGATTACTTCACCGGATTTGGTTTTGTATTGAATGCCTCTTATGGTTCCTTCATCTTCAAGAAGAGATGTTACTGTGCCTTGTTCCAGTTTTACACTGAAAGTTTAATGAAAATGTTGATATACAGAAAGAAAAAATTAAAAAATTAAAGAAAATTGATACTGACTTTGGGAGAGTGGCAGATTTGTGTCGCATTTTTTGTATGAAGCGTCCATTGTGAAAGCTTCGACCAGATACGTCTGAATGAAAGTTCTGTAAGGGGTAAGATAATTTAGTGCTTTTTCCATCTTTGAAAAGTGCATATCCATGTATTCTTTGAGCGTCTATTTCCTCCACACAATCTGCATTTGCAATAAGAAAATTGTGTCATTTTCTTTGAGTTTATATTGTGATAGATGAATTGTAGGTAGAGAATATATATATATATATATATATATATATATATATATATATATATATATATATATATATATATATATATATATATATATATATATTACCTTGGAGATCTAGTTCAATTAGCTTAAGGTATCCCCCTGGTTGTAGCAATTCACCTACAATTCTGTCTGGCTCTGTTAAATCTCTCTCAATTACTACAACTTTGCGTCCTTCCTGTTATAGCCAGTTGAAGAACATATGTTTAGACTAATAGTAGTGATGTTAATTAGTGATTAAATAATTCATCCTATTCAATTGTCAGAAGTGGCACGAAGTTTCTGTAGTATCAATAACTTTGATATAAATAGTTATAATATTGAAGATTGTGTCATGGTTTTCCTCCAAATTTTAATAATTATATGTATGTAACATGGTTGGATCATACAAATTACAGGCTGGATGAAGTAGATGTTGAAACTTAGTGTTTGAAGGAAAGATTGATTTAGGAGCGTCTTTCTCAGCCTTATCGAATGCACCAAGATTCAAACAGCAAAATCCAAGGAATATAACAGTCGGCTGATGGCTTGTGAGCTTGAAATTTGTTCATGAACCGAATGCAACAGGTAATTAACTTTTGTATCGGAAAATGTTCTTTGGAAGTATCACCGATTTTCGAGAAAATTATGATTAAATTATTTTCTACCCTCGTCCTACCCATCCAAAATCCAAAATAGATAATAAATTAAGAATCATCTCTCCAAATCACATCAGGATCAGCAGCAAAGAAACAAATAGCTATGTAAAATTAAATATTAATATTCAATAAAGTGAAAATCGAATCTCACCTTGCCAAGGGTATGAGCAAGGGCGGCACCGGCGACACCAGCTCCGACGATTATGACGTCAGCATCTGCAGCTCCATATCGGTGACGGAACTCTCCACGCGTCAGATCGCTCCGATTCTTAAAACTGTTGTTATTACCAGAAGCATTCTTCTTAGAGTAAGGTATTGAGTAGCTGATACGGCGCCTTAGAACCGAAAGAACAACAAAACCTAAAAAGGAAACGAAGAAAGTGGCAACAATGTAGCTGTTATCAATCGTATTCTCCATGATCTTCCTCTTACTTCTCAACACCCTTGTTGACGATGTCAATTGAGGCGCCGACGAAGATGAGATCAACGGCGGTGGTTCCTGACTGTGGTGGTTGATTGATCGGTAACTCGCGGTGGTTAAGATGTTCTTGTGGTTTGTGTGTGTGTAATGAGTGACGTGAGGACGATGACCGGAGAAAACCAGGGAGATGATGGGGAATGTGGCGGGTTTTATAGGAACCATCTGTTAGTTGTAGTTCCGTTCCGATCTGAGTTGACAGCCGTTAGTTGTTGTGGCAACATTTTGAGTTTGCTAAATTACAAATTAGGTCCCTGTACTATTCGATAAAGACAATTACGTCACTCATTTAATAATCTTTTATGCTTAACCTATGGACGTTCAACAAGATGGTCCATGCATTTTGCATGAAGGTACAAGAATGAGAGGTGTGTTAATTTATTTTATTCCATTTCTTTTTTATTTTAAGTACAAACTTGCCCCTATCATTATAAATTTTGTGATTTAAATCTAAAATCCATAACATTTATTTTAACGATGTTATATATAAACATTATATTAGCATAATGTCATAATGATTACGCATGGGTGTGGGTGGGGGTTATTGTTTATCTTTTTGTGATCAAGATTCTATATTTATTTTAAACACTATAGTTGGATTGAGAAGATTTTCTAGGCGATTGACATTGAAGAATGATCACATTGAGGAATCGTTTCTTGTCCTATCTTTATCTTGCATTCATGTTCTCGATATTTTGTATTTCGATTTTGATAACCAGCTTTAGGGGGTTTTAATCCCGTCATAACGAACAACAGACAAAGGTTAACATGAAGAAGGGGTAAAGAAATTACTACAATGTATCTACAATTACGAGAGATACAATTCAACATAATCAAGATATAGTTAACATACTGTTATGTATTTTTTATGTGGCTAACAGTTCATATAGTTATATTAGAAACTTCAAACATCAAAACAAACCTTAAGGAGAGAAGTACCTCAAGAACTTAATTTGAATCTCGAATTTGATGCCAGATATTCTCTCAATGTGAATTCATTTACAAAACTTCAAGTCCTGCCATAAGCCTTTTAAGTTTGGAAATATGACAAGAATAACCCCTCAAACCTCATTTTTTATATATGGCATCCGACCCCATGATTTTTTTTTCTAAACCTCTTGCAACAAACATAATGGCGATCAATTTTTTTTTTCATGCAATGCCTCATAATGTGTCATATTATGGTGGGGTGGTAACTATAATCGTACAAAAACCCAATCATAATTTTTTTTTCATGCAATTTTTTTTCATTCATTTACTTTCATACAATTAAGGTCCAAACATAATTATAAGTGTCATTAACTTCCATTTATGAAAGTACAACTCCCAGCCTCAAGTCTTAATTTAGATCTCAACTCCAACCTATTCAATACTTATTTTTGATTAAATATTAATATTTAAAATTAGAATTAACATTTTATTTTACCCTTAAAAGTTATAACTAGATGTTACATTGACTTTGGTTGGTTCATGACTAACTTGAGGCCGCCTTTGATCAGTTTGGGGACGACTTGTTAGCATAACATCAACTCACTTGTTAATATAAGATCAACTCACTTGTCGGGTCAAACTAACTTATAATTTTGACGACCAAATATCTACATATAACTGCCTCTAACTTTTAAATATCATTATTTTCATCATTCTTATACAATTTTGTGTATATAAGTAATCATTATATCTCAATTTTGGATTTACTAATATTGTGACTAGTACTTCGCCTAATGTTGTTGTGCATGAGACTATAAGTGCATACTTTGGGATTATCCTAAGATGTTATTTGTTGAAACTCAGATATACGGGCAAATAAATTTCTAGAAAAAATGACTACACGATCTCTTCAATGTTTTGGGACTTTTGAAATTTTATTAACCACTAACAATGAGCTAGAAATAAAATGTTGCAAAGTAAAAGATAACTCAACTTGAGTTTTGTAAACAACTAATACGATTGAGCGTTATCTTAGAGCTTCTATTTTTCAACAAAAACTAATATCGAATCACAATCTTATCAAAAACATAATTAATTTTTGGTTGTTTAGTTATCGAAGTAATTAGTCCCACGTTTCACTGATTACTTTCCAGCATGTTTTGCAAAGAGATAAAAACATAAAATATAAAATGACTCTTTTTCACAATGTACAATTTCAAAGTTCATTCAAAATCATCGAACTTTGTAAATTATGGTGTTTTTGTTATTTTCACAAGCAAATTAATTAGTCAAACACGAAAAACCAATTTTGTTTTTAGAACCATAATAAATAACGTTTACTGCTTCTCAAGGTAAACGTATACGATATCTTAGATATTATTATCTTCTATTGCTAATGTCGTGAAAGCCAGAAGTGGAAGAAATGGGTAGAGTCAAATGTGAAGACAAGTGTCCCTTTAAAGGTTAGATTCCAATTAAACGTGAAAGCTATTTTAAAGAAGACCGTAGTTTTACAACTCGTTAAAAACATTTCAAATTTGAACCTCCAAATTCAAAATTTCACGCATGCTTTTTAATATTATTATCAAGATTAATTCATTTACAAGTAATTTGAATTGTTTGATATAGTTTCTTAGTTTGACTTGATCTGTAACGTATCCCTTATTGCAAATAAAATTATTATTATAAACAATCACATATCTAAATGATCAATTTCATTAAATAATAACAAGTTTCACCAAACGATTTTATGTTGAAGTACACCAAAAACAATTTTTGTTGACCGGCATACGCCAAAAACAATGGACGAGAGTTGTTTGATTGAATGAATAGATGACCACTTACGATAGAGAGAAACTCAATATTTGTTCGTTACTCAAATTCAAGATGCATATAAAAGTTTACAATAACCCTTTATAAATGGCGATGCTAAATTTGGAAGGTATGATCAAATTTGGAAAACTGAAATCAACAATTAATTCTAATCAATAACCTTTTAAATAAGAAAATGAATTTCATAAAATAATGAAAACGGATATTCTGCCATTAAAACATAATAAAATAAAAATGGAAATTATTCGAAAATTAAGGAAAAATGGGGTTTGGATGCCTAAACAACGGAATTTGAGGGTCGACTGTGGGGACCTATCAGGAGCTCCGGCTCGTCGATACTTTGTCGTCGATATATCGCACACATCCAAATTTCTTACGGACCAAAAGTTATGCCAATTTCAAATTGAATATCTTTTGGCACTGTTTGTTTTTCTCCTGCTTATCCATAAAAGTTTATGTCAGATCATATGTGCTCCACGTCATTAATTACTGAAAATAACACTCATACTGTATTAAACTATTAATGTTTAGTAGCAATTACAACCGATGATTATGCATTTTTTTTTCTTCTAACACATTGATGATAGGCTTAAGATAAAAGAAGTCTAAATAAAAATAAAAATTTAAAATATTAGAACAAAACTGAAAGTTGAGTACTTAATTATTCCAAAAACAGTTGAGTGACTTAGAAAAATCAACGCCATGACATTCTATAATATATTGAGACAAACGAAATGATATAAGTAGGAAATGCAACTTACGATGATCATGTGCATTAGAACTCATACCAAGTGAATCAAATATCAACTCTTGAAAATTACTTTTAAATTATTTATTATTACATATTAGAACTGTATTTTTCATGTTTTAAAATATTTATTTTAAATTGAATAGTTAATAAATGGATAAAAATATATTTTTTTATGTTTTAAACTGTTTTCGGTAGGATCTTACGACCCCAATTCGATTTTACAAGTACGATCTTGTAAAACCGAAAAAAAATATATTATATAAATAAATTCATTATATGGTTTTCCAACCACCTATAGTGGCTCCCTAATATTGTGAGGTTTGGGGGTGAGGGCTAGCCTTTGGCAATGCTATTAAGACACCCCTTTCGATATTGTGTCACACATCTTTCTACTGATCAATCCTTGATTGAAACTCCTAAAGTTTGAACTTGAAACCTCCTCTATGAGATGCCCAAGTGTTATCCGGTGAGCCATCAAAGGCTTTGGTTTGTTATCTTATTGTTTTAAAATAAAAACAACATTTCAAGATACCATTTCTTTAAACCCAAAACGTCGTAAAAATATGAAATTTTAATTTGTACTGCTCCTGTTCTCCATTAACATATTATAAATTTTACTCAAGTTCAGGATTTTTAATACGATTCTTTGGACTGCTGAAAGCATTCCATCGGTATATATTTGCTCCTCGTGATTAGCGAAGTATTTACATTGGAGAAGTGATGGTGATAGATGTGATTATAACCCAAGTGCCAAGTTAGAGCATATATTAACATTTTAAGTAGCAAATGTTTAGGAAATTATCATGGAAATATCAGACATGACATAATTTTAAAGCATCAAATTTATAGACTATTAAATTTATCATTTTTTTTACTTTTACATGCATGTCAAGCAACCTGTTTCTAAAATGTTTTAGCAACTCCATTTTTAGTTGTTTCAAGTGTTGTAAAAGTTTTGAATTTTTATTAGAAATTTGTTATTTGGGTTACAAAATCTACGCTTATTTTTTTAAATGACATGAAAATTGATTTAAATAGTAATATCAGAAAGTAATAGTCAAATTTTACAACGGTTCCATCTAGCTTACTCAAAGAATTTTTAACAGCTTAATTTATAATTTTGTTTCAATATATAAATATTTTGAAATTTGTATTTGTTTTTCAATAAAGATATATTAGTATCCTAATTATATAGAATCTTATTGGATTATGGGATTATGCATACTTAGAACTTATAGTTATAACCATGGACAAACCCCACTTGTGGACTAAAAACCTAACTCGGCTAACTCGGCCCATCTCCGGTTTGGGGAAAAACCGAAAAACTGTTTACTATTTTAGGATGTTCATTTACAAGTTTAATGATGCACGTGACGACATGTTTCACATGAAAATCACTTTAATAAATGTAGTATTTTTTACCGTTTGGTTGGCTAATGTTTAAAATAATAATTATTATATTGATGTTCATTATAAAATAATTTTTATATAAAATTAATATATAGAATTAATATTATTTTAAACGATATTATAATATAAAACTTTATTATAATTATATTATTTTATAATATTTATCCGTAGCTTTAATGGAATAAAACTAAATATCATTTTCGATTGAGAAATTGAGTAAACTAACCCTTATAAACGACTTTGTTAATAAAAATAATTAACTTATTTTTTTTTTTTTTTTT